CATCCATCCATCCATCCATCCATCCATTCATCCATCAATCCATCCATCTCCTAATGCTAATTTTGGAACACCACTTTAAATAATATGAGCTCTGCACTTACTGCAGACAGCCATCCCCCATTCCAAACTCCATGCAATGGTATCAGTGAAAGATCACATCTAGAGTTTCTATCAAATTAGCTAGGCATCTGTAATAATGTATGTTGTTTAACAGGAGGCAGGATATGTAGGGTTTGCCAATTTACCAAACCAAGTTCATCGCAAGTCAGTCAAAAAAGGATTTGAGTTCACTCTAATGGTTGTAGGTAGGTTTTGTTATGCAGATTAAACATGCGAGCATGCCATATTTTGATTATTACCCATTGATGTTTACCTTATTTAGAAATCACATTATACCCTCCCCCCAGGGAAGGAATGATGACCACCACCCCTCCACCCCATGCTATGTAAATTGTGACCAGTGCCCTAACCCACACTACACAGATGATTAACCATACTCCTCCCCTCCCGGGCCCCCTTCACTGCCTGAATGACGATTACCACCCCTTCACCCCACACTATGTAAATTGTGACCACTGCTCTGATCTACACTACACAGATGATGAACCATTACTCCTCAGCTCCCACCCCTTCCCAACACTCCCTCCCACCCCCCTCTCACTGCCTGAATGATGACCACAACTCCCCCCCCCCCCCCCCCCCCATTACTGATACAGTACTATTGACAACCATATTTCTGCAGCATTTGGTAAACTGCTAAATTAATGGCTTTGCTCTCTTTTATTTCTAGGAGAGTCTGGATTAGGCAAGTCAACGCTGATTGAAAGCTTATTCCTGACAGATATATACGATGATAACAAAATTCCTCCTGTCATTGGTACGTGAACACATACCTGTGATTGCGCTTGGGTTGTTCAATCTGGGTCCTGGGAGTCACATAACTGCTCAATATGGGGTCCCAAGCATTGTGTTGTGGGTGCCAATCAATATTTAGGAAGCCCTTGTCAACACAAGGTGAAGTGAAGATCTGGGATCTTCGGTCTTATTTTTCGAAAGAATGAACGGTATTTCTGCGTTAACGCGATTCCCGCAAAGAGTGCAGCTAGGGAACCAATAATATTTTATGGGGGTGGGGGTGAAACCTCAGATATGCGATGTTTGAATTTTCATGCTCCTCCCTCAATTTGCTTCACCTCTCCCCTCCCTCCTTTTTTCTGTATGTGTTTTACTTTACATGGTCTTTTCTATATTTTCTAGATCGCATTTACCAGACGCTCAACATCGAAACAAACACTGTAGAAATCGAGGAAAAAGGCATCAAGTTGAAGCTGACTGTAGTCGATACTCCTGGGTTTGCCGACGCTGTTGATAACACTGACTGGTATGAAGCATCTGAGAGATTTTCCTTTTACTATTTATCAAATAAAACAGGCTTTTTCCGTGCTCCGTTCGGTAATAAAGCACGCAGGAAGTGACGTAAGCACGAAAGAACTAAAGGAAAAGCACGAGCCGTAGGCGAAAGAAGGTCGCAGGATATAGTTGAATCAATGGCGCGGATGGCGTCAGCACTGTGCTCCGTTCACTAATAAAGCACAGTTTTCGAACAATCAGCGCACGCGTACTATACTAACTATATAATAAATTCTTGATATCTTTTTTAGCTGGCAGGCGATATTGGATTACATTAACAAGCAGTTCGAGTCTTATCTTCGCGATGAATCGGGTTTGAATCGAAGAAATATTGTCGACACTCGGGTTCACTGTTGCTTGTATTTCATCAATCCACACGGACATGGGTAAGAGAATTAAACTTAAGAGTTTCTTTGTTTGTGGGAGTCATGACTTTACTACTTTACTTTACTAATTAAACTTGTTGTTGGTCATTTAAATTTAGATTCTCTTATTATTTTTGAAAAAACATTGTTTCCCCATTAGATTAAGACCAGTGGATGTGCAATTCATGCAAGCACTACACAACAAAGTAAACATTGTCCCAGTTATCGCTAAAGCTGACTGTCTTACAAAACATGAGCTAAGCAGACTCAAAAGAAAGGTAAGGCTCGAGAGAAGTGTTCCTACAGACCTTTTTACCTTTGGCGTAATGTTTTCTTATTTCAACCCACGTCAAGGGTGGATCCAGGGGGGGGGGGGGGGGRWAAWRGGGGGGCTGAAGCCCCCCCTTCAGCAGGAAAAAACGATAATTTTTTATATTGTTTTCCGTYGTGTTGACGGAAGAAACTCAATTAGCCCCCCCTAAACKCAATGGGCCCCCCCCCCCTAAAATTTTGGCTGGATCCGCCCTTGCACGTGTCATTCTCTTGAAAATAAAATTCATTGTTTGAATTGTATATATCATTAATAATAAATAAATAAAATAAATAGGATTTAGCAGTGGCATTTCCACAGAGTGGCTCTTCATCCACTGTAATTCCAATTTGAATTTAGAAGTTGATTTTTGCAGAGGGAGGAAAGCCGGGGAACCCGAAAAACCCTCGAAGCACACGAGAGAACCAACAAACAACTCTACTCACATACGACACCGAGCACGGTGGGACTCGAACCCAGGTCGCACTGTTGAGAGGCGAGCGCTATATATCGATACATTCATGTGTCTTCTCATGCGCAACCGTCAAAAAAAGAAAATGATACTCTAGGAAATGACACTTGGTCTAAAAACCTACACCCAAGACAAAAAGGTAGATGTTATATTACATCAGTAACTCTGGTTGGAAAGATCTTTCGAGACATAACAAATTTAACGTCCTTTATGGAAAAACTCCTAGTTATATAACTTATTTTCGCGTTTTAGGATGGGACTTTCCCGGATTCCCAAATAAGTACGTAATCTACAATCATCTATCGATATTTTCTGGTCTCCTTCTAAATATAGGTACTTAACGAATTAGAAGACAACTCTATCAAAATCTATACCTTTCCCGACTGCGAAAGTGACGATGATGAAGAGTTTATTGAGATTAACAAAGAATTAAAAGTAAGTAAGAAACAAATTCATATACTGGGTTACCTGTCTATCTTATGACGTCATCATCGCCATTTTTGAATTTTTTCTTTGCCTTCGTGCATCCAGATGACTGTACCCTTTGCTGTGATTGGCAGTAACAGGCTAATTGAATCCCGAGGTCGAAAGATTCGAGTGAGGCAGTACCCATGGGGGTACGCTGAAGGTATGCTAAAGCAAATACATCAGACTTAACTTCGTATACCATTTGACTGTTCTATTGCAGTGGGCATTGCTCCACATTAATGATGCTAGGAAAGGGTGGATTTCGTATGACTGTGAAAAACGTACTGCACACACGTGCGCGGAAGTGCCGTGACCGTCACGGTGCCGTGACCGTCACGGTACCGTGACTTAGGATTTTTATTGGATGAGCACTGATGTCGCTCACTGTGATTGGTTCAAGGAATGCCATTAATTTCGTACCGTATGTTACCGTGCTGTGCGCCTTTCTGTTTCACAGTCATACCATATCTATTCTCTATAGCTTGGCCTGGGTAGCGGCGAAAGGAAGAAAACTCGAACGGATGTCCCCCATGCACGAAATGCTTCCTCTGACTTTTTCAGTCCCCCCTAATCAACCAATTGCGCCCTAGGCCACTCTATTCAATGCTACATAGGATTGATCATGATATACCTTGCTATATGAAGGACATCAAATAAATAATCCCTTTCCCATTTTTCTGTATTTCAGTGGAAAATCCCGATCATTGCGACTTTGTCATGTTACGAAACTTCCTCGTAAGGTAAGCTACATTCGACGAACCTCTTTATGGGGTTAACGATATAATTCCCTTGAATACCAAGCCTTCGTTTGCTGGCAAATCTTTAGATCATTAGCGAATTTCCTTTGCAATTTCGTTCAAGGAGCATGGGTTTCTCCACTAGTATACGCACCGGGTAACGTTGCTGACCAGGCCGAGTTGAAATATGCGGTTTGTGTGGGAGAGGGTAGAAGAGTCCTGCGCATTAGTTTCGATTCCCTGTTTTTTGATTTCCAATTGATAATCGTGAAATCTATTCCTAATTATAGCTTATGAATAGATTTTCCATGGCTCCACGGCCCACACTCATGGTACGGATTCGTCTCGCGGTACGGAATTTATAAGCCAATCACAGTGCGCGGAATGTTTGCTCATCCAATGAAATGCGCGGACACGGCACGATCACGTCACAGCACGAGCGTCCCGTGCGTTTTTATTCGTTATGCGAAATCTCGACGAAATTTGTATTTATTGAACACCAATATGTTCTGTTTTTACTTAGAACGCACATGCAAGATTTAAAAGATGTGACTCAGGACATTCATTATGAAAACTACCGAGCAGAGCGACTGTCCAGGGAGACTGGTACCCCTGTTGGATATAAGAAAGTGCAAGACATGTGAGTATAAAGTGTCTATCCGTCTGTCTGTCTGTCCATCTGTCTGTCTTTCTGTCTGTCTATCTGTCTGTCCATCTGTCTGTCCAT